CAAACAGAACAAAACAAAAACAGCTTTTCACATGTTTTCCTAGGGTTCTTTACCTTGAAATTTCTCTTCTCCACCAGCCCCTGTGACCCTAGAATTACCTGGGACTCTTACCTTAGGTCTGTCAAGACAAGTTGGCTTTGTTTACCTGTTGTAAAGAGCTTCACAAAGTACCTAATAAAATGCATAGAAACTGATGGTCCCCTTAGTTCAGAGATCTTGTTCTATCCTTAATGTGCTCTCTCAGTTCCATTGGACTTAAAAAGGAGCCATTTCCACCCATTCCTATTTACTGTCTGAATCCAGTCCCACATTATACATCTCACACTATAGAGCATTATAACGTTATGAAGCATTTTGCTCACAACATCCCTTCAAGGTAGGAAGTACAAGATTCCTTTGCCCAGGTTACAGGTGAGTAAATTGAGGCTATGAGAGATTAAATGGCTTGTTCATAATTACATAGCTAGCCAGTTGTTAGGGCTAAAATGGACCTGTGATCTCGTAACACCCCACTTCTTTCCTTCTCTTCCCACTGAGATTCAGGTCTAGTGTTGCACCCATCATTATGGCCATTATCGGGTAATCTCTTTCAACCAGCCTTGCTCATGACCTTTTTCTGTAAGGGTAAACCAATACTAACCTACCCTCAACAGCTAACATTTATCTCTGGCTTTAAAGTTTGCAAAGTACTTTGCATACATTAACTCATTTGATCCTCACAACAACCCTAAAAGGTAGGTACTATTATTTTCCCCTTTTTACAGATTAAGAAACCAAGGATGACAGAGGTTAAGTGACTTGCCCAGCTATTCAGTGACTGAAGCAGGATTGGAACTCGGGTCTTCCTATCTTTAAGTCTAGTACTCTATCCACTGTGCCTTCCCGTTTCAAAATCCCTACTCCAATACTGGACCTTCCATTGTCCAGTGTCCTACCATAAGGGGTTCTGCTAGCTCTCTCCTTATTAGCAGAGCTGAGATGATGGACAGATGAGTCTAGTGAATGGAATGTCTACACCCTATCCAACACAGACTGCCAGATCTGACAACCACCTAGGTCACCTTTTGACGGCTCATCCTTAACACTTAACATCCCCCACTCTTTGCTAATGCCCTACAATACAGCACTCCAATCAGTGCTATTTACAAGTTACATTTTCATTCCAGGAAAAAGTTTTGCCAGTGCAATCTGTTGTTCTCAGCCCTGTGCCTTGGCTTTTGTAGTTTGAAAAATGGAACTGACCTGAGCAGCTTTGATACCTCTGCTGCTCAGTGATTCTAAGATCCAGTGCCTGGGGCAGGGTCAGAAATGGATATTTACCAACAATTGCCATTGGCAAAAATATTCTGGACCTTGTGCTGGCCCCAAGGAAAGTAATGATACCATCTTATGTTAAAGTTGGAAAGACCTCAGAGGTCATTTCCTTCTTCATTTCCCAGAGGAAGAAACAGAGGCATAGGAAAAAGTGACTTTCCATGTCTCACTATTATGGTCTTACAATGCTAGGAACACGTTAGGCAGGTTCCACCCAAAGTAGAGGTGATGTGGTGGTAGAGGCCCAGCTTTGGAATCAGGAAGACCTGGATGAATTCCTGCTTCTGATACATACTAACCATGTGGCTCTGGACAAACATTGAAACTCTCAAGGATCCCAAGCAACTTTTCAAGATGGTAAAATACAGAGAAATTGACAATAAGCTTTGGTGGATGGAGTTTCCATATAGGGAGCTCCTAATCCTGAAGACATCTCAAGTCTGGACAGAAGAAGAAAAAACAAAACAAAACAGAAACCCTACTCTCAAGATGGTTGTGAAGAAAGTTCTGTGTAAACCTTTCTCTTCAAATTTAAGAGATTACCTTTTTATTGCCGGTAGGGAACAGGAAGAGAAAGAGTTCGATTCATAATAACTCACATTCTGATCATATGTTGCCCACAAATCACTTTCTTCAAAATAATCACTTCACTAGTAAGTGCCAGGGCTAAGATTTGAACCCAGTCTCCTGACTGCAAATCCCATTCTTTTCAGTGCACCAAGAAGGCTCTGCCACTTTTTCAAGAGTTGAAGCTCAGATTTGCTCAGATTTCACAAGGGGCTGGACTTTAGAAAGACTTTATTTCAAGGCCACTGATAGGATAGGAAATTAGTTTTTTGCCACCAAGGCCCCAGGGTTGGGGATAGGGAAAAGAAGAGAGCTCACACCATCCACTCCCATTCATTTTCTTCTTTTTGCAGGGCAAGGGGGAACATGGCCAGGCTAGTGAGGCCCCCAGCTCAACACAATTCATATGACATACTTGCAGTGTACTTGCATATACACACATATATGCGCATACACACACACACACACACAGTCCCACACATACAAACTCTCACACAAATAAAAAGCCACAAACAAGTTCCAAGAGTAGGATTCTCCATAAGGGCTTGGAAGAAGGAAAATCAATCTATGAAAAAGGCCTTGCCCTTTCAGAGCAGAGAGGAGGAAAGGTTGGGCTGAGTAAAATAGGGAGTTAGGGAGGAAGTTCAGTATCAAGAAATTGAAGGGGGAAAAAGAGGAAATGGTGGAGGCATGGCTGAGATAGAGGTAGAGAAGGCAGAAGGTAGGGTAAAGGCAAGACAGAGAAGAGGCATGACAAGGAAGAAGGACTGGGGGAAAGAGAGGGACTGAGTCCAAATGGGACATCCTCTGCCCTGAGACAGTATAGGCTCTGAACAGGAGATCCCAGACCAGTCAGTTCCCTTACAGTAAATAGCAATAGGCTCCACTCACTGGGGTTAATGGTCCCAGAGTATGTCCATGCTATAGACTCATTAGGGCCCATGGCCAGTAATCATTAGCAGGAATTGTGTGCATTAGGTAACTCACTAGTCAAAGAGCCATAATTATGAGCAGAATCTGGGAGGATCAATGACTCTCCCACCTCCAAAATCCATCCACTTACCAAGAAGGAAATCGACTAGAAACTGGGAGGGGTGGCAAGGAAGGGCAAATTATGACATAATTCCCCTAATTTGGAACTTCATATCACAAGAGATCATTCTTTCCCACCTAGGATGGACTCTCCAGCCCACCCTCTAGCAAAAATCTAGGAATCATCACAATTACAATGATCAATGCTCTGTACAGAGAGGCAGCATGTTGTACTGGAAAGAGTGGTGGATTTGTAGTCCAAAAACCTGGGTTCAAATCCTACATCCACTACTTACTAAGCTGGGTGACCTTGCCCAAGTCACTGGTCCTCAGTTTCCCAATCTGCAAAATGAAGGGCTTGATCATTGGTGATTTCCAATGGTCCCTTCCAATTAACTAAAGTCTATGATCCTACCTCAGGTACACGTGTATAGCCTTTTCTACTTTCCCAATCATTTTGTGTCATTTTTCAAATTTGATCCTCATAATTCTCCTGCGAGATGTTAGGAAAATTAAGGTCTGGAGATGTTAAATGACTTAAGCAAGATCATTTAACAAGTCAGTAATGTGTCAAATTATATATAGGCAACTAGGAAGCAAAGTGGACGGAATGTTGGGCCTGGAGTCAGGAAGACTCATCTTCCTAAGTCCAAATTTGGCCTCAGACACTTACTAGCAGTGTGATCCTGGATAAGTCACTTAATTCTGTTTACCTCAGTTTCCTTATCTGTAAAATGAGTTGGAGAAGGAAACAGCTAACCACTCCAGTATGTTTGCCAAGAAAATCCCAAATGTGGTCACGAAGAATCAGACACAATTGAAAAATGACTGTACAACAAAAACAAATTATATGATTACTATGCCATATATACACGTGTTTATATGTAAATTATATACATATATGTATATATATATATATATATACACACACATACATATGGAGAAAGAAGGAGAGAGAGACACACACACAAAGCAAAAACACAAAGAGAAATTCAGTGTACTAAATACAATGTGCTTTGCTATCCAACCCAGGTCTCCTGGTTCCTGGAATAGGACTCTTAGTCCAGCATCTTTCAGGGAGCTTCCTTTTTCTCTGTTGCCCTGGGGCTGAGAGGTTCTGGAGTGATTTGGAAGCAGGCAGAGAGAAAGAAAAAAGAGTGGCCAGTCAGATGACTAAATGCTTAAATTTAGCTCTGAATAGACTGCTTGAACATCCTAGACTCTCATCTCCTTGTTCCTTTTGTGCGGGTCTAGAGAGATCCTGTCATCATTGACATTAATTTTAGCCAGATCATATTATTTTAACGAATGAAGCCACTCCTGGTTGTCCATAACTGGTGGATTTCGTATACTGGGGCTGCAGACTATAGCCCTGAACACCCCTCTTCTCCACACTTCCTCTTATCCCACCAATACTACCATTGTGTTCACAGAAGGCACAATGGTGTGCTTTATCATTTTAACATCAATTTGATATTAACCTGGGTCAATCTGCATAATATAGCGGAAAGAGCACTGGATTTGGAACTAGGAGACTGAGGTTTGAATCCTGCCTCAGACACTTAGTTGTGTGGCTCTGGAAAGTCATTTAAAAGCTCTGGACCTCACTTTACTCATCTGTAAAATGGGATGGCAGCATTAGGTGACCTCTAAGGTCTCTTCTCCCTCTAATGATCTAAGAATCAGGATAACCAAATGTACTATTGGAATCACTCTATAATTAGACTGGGGGGGCAGCTGTTAGGGGAATTCTGATGATATGGTTGATCCACTCTTGTTCAATCTGAACCATTGTTCCGTCTGCCCAGATAATAGGAAAGATATCATAGTTTGACATAAGAGATTTTCTAGGATTCCAGAATCCTAGAGAAAACAAGAATTTCCCCAAGATAACCCATTTCAACACAGTGACCAGAAAAGAAAGGAAAGGAGATGTTCAGAACCAGGAGCATAATTCATGTCAAGAAGGGAGATCTCATGCCTGGGGGATGGAGACAGGGAGGGAGAGAAGAGAGAAGGGAGGGAGGGAGGGAGGGAGGCTCCAGCTGGAATCTGTCTCACAGTCTCTTGTCCTCCACCCACTTCAGGGAGCTTCATCCAGCCTGGTCGTCAAGTTTGCAGACACGGACAAGGAGCGCACAATGAGGCGGATGCAGCAAATGGCGGGCCAGATGGGCATGTTCAACCCCATGGCCATCCAGTTCGGGGCATATGGAGCCTATGCACAGGCAGTAAGTGTAGAAATGGTTCTGGGGCAGGAGAGGTGACAGGTAGGGTGGTGGTGGATAGCAGGAAACAATGTAGAAATAGCAAAGGAGGCCTCCGGGGAGTTACTAGGATCTATCCTGGGCCCCCCATATCTAGTTCTGTTTGGAGAAGAGCTGGAGGGAAGAAGAGAAACATGTGCCCTAACTTCAGAGAGTCCCTGCTGTTACTGGGACTGAAAGAGTTTATGATGGAGGAAGCCCTAGTCTGATGGGAGAGATACAGCTCCTGACCCAGTGAGGCCCCAGTCCAATTTTTTGGGAGGGGGGGAGCAATGAGGAAGTAAGGGGGAAGAAGACTGTCTTTGGAGAGTTCCTGGTTTGGATAGCAAACAAGAAAGCCACTCCTACTCTCCAGGAATCAAATAGGTAAAACAGTGCAAATAACTACAATGCAAACAGAGTAATTAATTGAAGCTCTGAGACACTGCCTAAGGAGGTGATTCAAGTGTTGTGAGGTTAATCAAGGCAAGCTTCTTTAAGGGGGGAGGTTTAATCCACTGATTCAACATAACATTTATTATGTCTACCATGTGCAAAAGCATTATGGTAGCTGCTGGGGATACAAAGAGAAAAAAACAAACAAACAAAAAAAGACAATACCTGACCTGCCTTCAAGGAGTTTATGTTCTTCTAGGAGCATACTTTCTGAAGGGGAAGAACATGGATTGGGGTGGGGAGGGGAGTTGAGAGAATAATTCACACTGGGGAAACCAGCCTTCCAGAAGAGGCAGAAGTGAGAATTACTCCTTTACCCAGAATGGTATGTTAATTAGCTCAGTTGGAAGAATGCATTGGGGAACCTAATGAGAAAGAAAGCTAAAGAACCTGGAGGCTAGGTAGGTATATATATAGATGGTGGGTATCAAGGAAAACTCATGGGCAGAATAGGAGATAATAATAATAATACTCCACATTTGTATAAAATTTTAAGCTACTTTCATGGGCATTACTTCATTTTCTGCTTAAGACGACCTTATGAGGTTGGCAAGGCAGGGATTTTATTATCCCTATTTTATAGATGGGGAAACTGAAGCTCAGAAAGATCCTTAGGATCAAGATTTAGGTTTGGAAGAGACCTCAGAGACCACTGAATCCAACTCTCTTATTTTACAGTTGAGGAAACTGAGGTCCCAAAGGAGATTAAGTGACTTGCTCAAGTCCCATAGCTAGAATGGTGAAGTAGGACTAAAATTCAGGGCAAGAAAGAAAAATCATCAGCCACTCCCAGCAACCCCTTTTTATATCCTCTTCCTTCCTTTATATTAATGCTCCCCCTTATGCACCCAGTACCTCTCCCATCACTGATAAAACTAGGCATATGACAGTCCCTCTTCCCTCCTTCCCCATACTTCCATCCTAGGAAGATTCCTATTTTAATGGGTAACAATGTCTTAACCAAAAGGAATACAGATATAACAATGGAATGTCAGGCCCCACAACAGGCTGTAAAGGAGACATTTCTAGTTTTCTGAGGGCCCTCTTATCATAACAGATGTCTCCTCTGCTAATCAATAATAGATATGAGTCTACTAAAGGGTTACGAGGAAAGATGTCAATCAAATGGGGAAAGATAGTTTTGTTGTGGGTTGCTGTTGTTAATTAGAATAAGACAAGAGGTAAAGGCAGAGTTAATTATTTCATTGTCCTTGTGGCCAGTTTTGCCCAGGGTCTCTGGGTTCTATAACCCTTCAGACATAAAAAATTTTTTCTAACACAATCATGCATCCAGGGAGGCCTTCTGGTAACCTGAGAAGTGCACAAGGCTTAAAGGAAAAAGAGATCTAGGTTCCAGTACCACTTCTGACACTGAGTAGCCTGTACCACTCTGGACAAAACATTTAAACTTCTTAAGCCTCAGTTTCTTTATCTGTGAAATGAGGATAGTACCTTATAATTCCATAGAAATGTAAATAGCTGTTATAATGTCAGCCCTAATTACAACCCAACAAGTCACTGGCAGGGATAGTGAGGAATAGAGCTGAAATTATCCAGGCAGGGAGAAATGGCTGTGCGAGACACACCCCATCTGGTTACTGGATAACTTCAACTTTCCTTTCACTGAGGATATAGGGCCCAAAGGAGCCTTTGAGGCCACCTAGTCCACCCCCTCATTTTACAGATGGGGAAACTGAGGCTCAGAAAGGTCACAGCCAGGGTGACAGTCAGGAAGCAGCAGACAGGGTAGGAGTCCCAATGCTCTCTCTAATGGACTATGCAACTGTGACCTAGAGATCAGAAGTACAGAGCTTCCTGGGATCAAAAATCAAACCCCTGGGTCCTAGACTTGCCAGCTTTCTTTGGTTTCCTCATGGGTTCTACCTTTCTCCTTATCTTTCTCAGCATAGGTAGTTGAATATCCTAAGTGAACATGACTCCATTGTGAGGGACTATGAGGCGACAAAGTACACACAGTTGGAGCATCTCACAAGTACAATCCACATACTCAGTTGGCTAGGCATGGAACCAGGGGGAATCTCACCATAGTACAGGTTTAAAGTAGTAAGCAGTGCCTGCTGGGACAACCTGTTGTCACCATACCCTCCCTTTGGCCTTAACATCTGAAGTCATGATTCTTCGAGTTAATTAATCTCATAGTCAGTCAATAAACATTTATTAAGAACCTATCATGTGCCAGGCACTATGCTAACTAAGCACCTAACTTCTACCTTCTAGTTCTTGGGTGAAACACTGCCTTGGTCACCAGAAGCTGTGAAACCTTGGACAAGTCACTTCCCTTTTCTGAGCCTCAGTTTCTTAATCTGTAAAATAAAGGTGTTGAACTAGACTTCTAAAGTTCCTTCCAGCTTCTATCGTTCTATGATTCTTTGAGACTGACCTTAAGCACTAGTCACTGGAAGTATAAAGTTTCCTTCTTGCTGCTCTCTCTCTCTCTCTCTCTCTCTCTCTCTCTCTCTCTCTCTCTCTCTCTCTCTCTCTCTCTCTCTCTCTCTCTCTCTCTCTTTCTCTCCCCCCCTCACCTGTTAGAAAACCTTCTTGAGCATGTTTCTTTTCCTATATCTAGACTGAAATATACTAAGCATCCCTCTTTCTGTTTACATTGTTCCTACTTATCCTTGTTGATAATCCAATATGCTTATCTCTCTCCTCCAGCCTGCCCTTACTTTACCCAAAGTATCCCCATAGATATTTCTAACAACATTTGACCGAACATTAGTCCACTGCTCTGCCAGCCTGGGACATATCCCTTCTCCCCTGCCCTATCCCCATGTACCTCATCTCATTCCATGTACAAGAATATATATCCACATTTTTTAGGATATCCCCATTTCCTAGAACCATAATTTTTTTAGAACCATAATTTTTAAAACACAAGATGCCCCCAATTTATAATTTAAGAGATAGCTCTGTGCTGTTTCATACCCCCTCCCTAACCTCAACAGTGTAGTTAGAGAGGAATGATTTCCTCTAATTTTACAATCACTTTTGAAAGGATGGCATATATTCTTTCTCAAGCTGTGACCCATAGCATCTCAATTTCTACCATGCCCCACCACCAACCCAGGCATTCGTGGAGAGAGCAAAAACTATGCTTGCCATGAAGTTGTGAGGGCCAGAGAGAAGAACTATGATAGCAGGGATGAGGGGCTATATAAAAGGGAGTCATGATCCCCCAAAGAGGTGGGGGCAGCCCCACCTGGGAGCGCGTGATATTTTTTCCCCGTTCCCTTTGCCCCAGCTGATGCAGCAGCAGGCGGCCATCATGGCATCCGTAGCACAGGGAGGCTACCTGAACCCCATGGCAGCCTTCGCCGCAGCCCAGATGCAGCAGATGGCAGCACTCAACATGAATGGCCTCGCGGCCGCCCCCATGACCCCAACCTCAGGTAAGTTGCTCCATTTTGGAGGTCCCATGGGGAGAGAGGAGCAGCGTCAGAAAAGGCACGAGGGTCTTTCTGCTTATGAGGTGACTAAACATTGGCTTAGGGCAGCTCAATGGAGGGAGGGGGGGAAGTGCTGCTGAGATCATTTTCATAGAATTGACTCCCATATGGGCCAAAGTAAAGACAGGAAGGCTATTTTAAGGAGTAGACCTTGAACTGCGATTAAAAGGAGGTAACAGATTTAGTATTATTATTGCCTCTAATTGTTCAGATAGACAAGTAGATAGATTTCACTATCTCTATCCCCATCATCATCATTGTCATAGCTCTACTATTGTCCTGACTATCCTCATTACAAATACTTAGTTCTCATTGCCATCATTATTGTCATCAGGATCAGTATGAACACATCTCCACCATCATCATTACTGTCAGTTATCACCATGCACATTACCATCATTACCATCTTCATCACTAACATCACTGTCTTTACTATTACTGTCATCCCCATTACTGCTATCACCATCATCATCCTTATCACAATCACTATCAATCACCACTATCAGCATTATCTGATCTGAGTCTGACCTACAGATCATTCCTGTGGGATAAAACAGACCATGATGGGAATGGGGACACCCACAGTTAGTCTCTGTATTGACTTCTCAAAGGCTGTCTACCTGAACATTGAGAACTCCATCTAGTAGAACTGGTTGAGGGAGGTGGGAAAGAACAGCATTCAAAGGGACCCAGACTTGATAACACAGACCAAACAACTGAGAAAATATTCAGTCTATAAATGTGTCCATACTGAGCTCCCAATGCTCTCCCAACTTTGTGCCCCATCATATTGTGATACAGAGGAGAAGACATGCCCCCTTTCTTTGGGGAATTCAGCTTACTCTGGCAGACATGCTTCACATCCACTCACCAAGTAGAAGAAAATACCAGACAGTACATGGCCACACTCTGTGATTCAGACCTTAAGTGTTGTAGGAACTCAGTGAAAGGGAGGTCAGTGGGCTTAGTTACTCAGGAAGAAGACTTCCTGGAGGAAGTGGGACTCAATCTGAACATTGAAGAATGGGTAAGATTTGGATAGGAGTTGGAAGGGCATTTCAGGTGTATGGGGGAAATGGGAGGAGGGAGGAATATCACTAGTGAAAGCTCAGAGATTGGACTAAGCCCGGTGTGTTAAGAGGACAATGAGGAGATCAGACTGAATCTTTCCTTAGAAAGTGGAAGGCCAGTGAGGAAAGGTATTATACAAAGCCTGGGATCCTTCACCTTTGCTGTGCCTGTGTTTCTCTTTTTTCTCCTTCCCACTATTCCCCAGGTGGTAGTACCCCTCCGGGCATCACTGCACCAGCTGTGCCTAGCATCCCATCCCCAATTGGGGTGAACGGATTTACTGGCCTTCCCCCACAAGCTAATGGGCAGCCTGCAGCTGAAGCCGTGTTTGCCAATGGAATCCACCCATACCCAGGTAAGGCAGCTTCCTGACCCTTTATTCCCATAACTTAAACTTCTCTAATCCCCTACCCTGATACCCTATACCTTCCTTCTCAGCCATTGATCTAATAGGGGTAGACATAGCACAAAGAAATGACCCAGACAGGATGTCAGACAGCACACACAGCTGAATTCATGCTCACACTAATACAGGGTTTCTTTATTTACTAAAAGGCCCATGCAGAGGTCCTTCCCTTCAGCCTGGGGGTACCCTAAGTCACTCCAGATCTCCAGGCAGGCCAAGAATGAAAACCTTTCTTCTACTGACCTTACCAAAACACGGTAGGGTTGAAAATAAAGGAATTTAGGAAAATAAATAGGAAAACTACATCAAGAAAAATGTAGATGAGCAAGATAACAAAGGCCTAGAATTGTTAGTTCATTGAATCCTGCCTGCCAGATGTGGCCATTCCTTCTCTATTTACTGTCACCTTTAAGTATCTGTCCTTCATCTCATCATCTCCTTCTTAACCTTTAAGGGAGAAGGGAAGTGGCTTCAACCACACATCTGTCAGATACAGGACACATCATTAGTAGTAAAGGTTTTGACTTGAGATCCTTAGGAAATCCCTGCCATCTCTTTCTAAGGATCTCTTAGAGTATGTCCCACACACATCCTGGTGTGAGGGGTGAGAAAAACCTACCGTTAGACTTACAACTGCAAGAACTACTACCTCAAAGCAGAGGTCCTGTCTGCAACATCCTCCACAAGTAGTCATTCAGTCGGTTTAAAAACCTCCAGCCATGGAGAGCTTCTGACCCAAAACAGTCTTTTCCACTTTGGCCCAATTTGAATTGAATATTAATATTTTTTCCTTATGTTAAGCTGAAATTCTGCCCTTCAGGGCCAAATAGAACAAGTGTAACCTTTATTTCACATAACAGTCCCTTAAATATTTGAAGATCCCTATCACACACACCCCACCACAACCTCATCCTCTCTACTTTATAATAAATAGTTGTTTGGTAAATACTGATTTCATGTGGTTCCTAATCATATTTGTCATCTTTCTTTGGAGTCACTCCAGATTATGAATTTCTCTTTAAAAACATGGCTTCCAGAACTTCTGTCAGAGTGGTCCAACTAGGGCCTGCTGCCTTGGGTCCATCACCTTTCTTGCTCAAGATGCAAGAATTATGATTCTATGAAGTAAGCCTAAGAGATAATGAACTTTGTTTGGCTGTCATGTCACACATTCACATTGAGTTTGCAGTTCACTAACACTTCTAGATCATAGGATTACAAATTTCAAGTTCAAATAAGACAATATTTGTAAAGTGCCTAGCACATTGCCTGGTACACAGTAGGTGTGGCATAAATGCTTATTCCTTCTTTTTTCTTCAAGCTAAAGGCACTATAGAGATACTATAGGTAGAACTAGTACAAACTTCTCAATTTACAGATAAGATTTTTTTTTCACATAAATTGCTTCCTAGCCATGCTATTCCCTTCCTGGACACACTCAACTAATTTTTGCAACCAACTATAAGATTTATATTTATCCCTTTTAAATTCCATCTTTTTAACCTCAGTCAACTCAGATCTTTTTTTAAAATCCCAATCTGCCATCCAACATTTCCTAATCCTTTAAACTTTGCATGAACTGAAAATTTGATAAGCATGCCATCTATTTTTTTTCATCCTAGTCACTGGTAAAAACATCAAGCAAAACACTGCCAAGGGTAGAGCCTTGAGGCACCCTACTAGAGACCTCTTTCAGGCTAACATTAACCAGTGCCACCTAAGTCCTTTCTTTCCGCCAATTCTGATCTCACCTAAATCTGCTATCATTCATTTAGTATCTTTTCACCTTGTCTCTGAAGATATGAGAAATGTCATCAAATCCCATGCTGAAATCAATGAAATTCATAGGAAAATATCATAGACTTAGGTCTCAATCTATGGATCTAAAAGGGAATTTGAAGGTTATCTAAGTCATTCCTCTAACATTATCTAGGAGACTATTAAAAAAAAATAAAAGAAAATTAGTTTGGTGTATATGTTTAGTTCTCACTGAACCCATGACAGTTATAGATGACTAATGCCTTCCTTTCTAAGAGCTCACAAACCACACCTTCAAATAATCCATTTTAGAATCTTATTAGGAATCAAACTAGGGGCAGCTAGGTGGTGCAATGGATAGAGCACTAGGCCTGGAATCAGGAAGATCTGAGTTCAAATCGGGCCTCAGACACTTACTAGTTGTATGACCCTAGATAAGTCACTTAACCCTGTTTGCCTCCGTTTCCTCCTCTGTAAAATGAGGTGGAGGAGGAAATGGTGAGTCACTCCACTATCTTTGCCAAGAAAATCCCAAATGGTTCATGAAGAGTCAGATATGACTCAAACAACTGAACAACAACAAGGAATCAAAGTCAAGTTCACCAGCTTATACTTTAAAGTATTCACCTTCTAGAAAGTCTGGTATCCTAGAAAGAGCACTGGATTAGGAATCAGAAGAAACCTGAGTTCACAAACTGCCTTTAAATCTCCTGATTGTATTCCATAATATCCCATCCCTCCTTCTACATAATCTGTTCTTCTTAAACAAGGTATGGCCTTCAAGTCAGAAGTTTCATCCCACCAAATTACACTGATTCTTAATGAGGAGCATTTGAGAGTCTTAGCAATGGTACCCCTGGCAGCAACATTTGAGAACTTAAATGAGAAAGGAAAAACACACATAACAGGAGAAAAGCAATTTCTTCATACAGTGTGTAAAGGCTAAAAGGGACACAGTGCTTTATGACCCTTTGACAGTTTCCCAGGGTGGCCGTTATTTCTCTTAGAGCTAGTGAACCTTCAGCTCTAGTGGCTTTCACCTCTCAGTCCTTTCCTGAACCCTGAACCCCTAACCAAAGAACTGAACCTCCTGTACCTTTCTGAGTGCTGAACCAACTTGGTTGCTTGTGTTCAGAGTTCTGCCTTTTCATTCCTTCTGTCTTCTCTTTGCTGCTATCCTCCCAGCTGTCCCTGATATCCTACATTTTCTTCTTTCCCTTCTGCTTTTATCTCCACATACTCTAGGCCATGAGTTGTTTTCTAGGGTTTGGTTTATAAAGGAAAAAAGAATATACATATTCATAAATCATATACTAGTACGAGATAATTTAAAATGCCTACAAACTAAATCTACCCAATCTCAGAGCAGGCAGACCTGAATTTCCTAAGTCATCCTATACTAATGTTTTCCTAAGTCCATCCTGGTCACCCTTGATTCCCTCTCAGCTAAGAGTGACCACTGGATCTGCTGCTCACAGCACCTCTGATAAGAATAGTGTCTTTTCTTCAAAATACAAGTAACATTTGAGGATTTCCCCTGCCTCTGGGCTTTCTGGACCAGCAAATAAGACCATTCTTCTATTACCAGGTGTGTTCTCACCCAAACAGGAAGCTTCCTGATGGCATGGGGGACTGAATGTGCTCTCCCCAGAGTACTACACACTCACTTAGCTAACTAGACATATAACTTCAACTGCTTCATCAAAGGACAAAAAAAAAAGTAACATAAGCAGATAAAATCACCTCATAATCAGAATTCAACCTGAAATGCAGATCACCCCCCAGAAATTCACAAGACAACCACATCATTTCCACATGAGCTCAATGATTTTAGAAAAAGCATGGAAAGATTTGCATGAAATAATTAAGAGCAAAATGAGCAGAACCAAAAGAGTATTGTATACAGTAACAGCAATAGTGTTTCAAGAACAACTTTGAGCAAATAAGTTATTTTGTCTCTCCTATACTCTTAGATACACTCCTCTAATGGGTGAAGAGGAGCCATAAGCCATGCCCTTGGGATTCTTTCAGTCTGATGAGTACATAAATGCAAGACTCAGCTAATAAGCAACTGTAGACTAATTGGATATAAATAGAAGACCAGGGACTGAAGGAATGATCATTCTTTCCCAGTGTTAATCAGGAAAATATATCCTGGAGTACAAGATTCTGGTTCATAAGGAGAGAACTCTGAATTGGCAAGCGGGGTCAATGTGTGACTGTTCTCCCCAGTACTGCCAAGTTCTGTTCAGCACCTAGGACAGCTCAGTGGGAACTTCTGCTACCCAGGAGGAAAACTAGAATTCCTTCCTGGCCAATTGCTTCCATACTAGATACAGACTCATTATAGGTAAAACTAGCCAGTGGCTGGAAACATCTCTACTTTCCATCCAGGATCATGGAGAAGAGAGGGCCTGAATGAAAAGGGCTCGTTGACTGGTGGGAGTAGCACAGTATAGAGGAAAGGGATCTAAGGAAAGAAAACAGAGGAAAGGGCTTGAAGTCCCAGGCCTGGTTCTGACAGCAACTATATGACTTTAGGCAAGTCACTTTATCTCTGTGGTTCAGCTTTTCATTTCTAAAAAAAGGGGTTTAATTAGATGAGCTTTAAAGTGCCTTCCAAGTCTAACATTCTGTGAATCTATAAATCTACCTATGATCCTCTCCACTCTGTTTAGAATAATAATATTATGTGAGCAACCTAGTTAACTTTTAAAAAGTGCTTTCACTTTCATTATCTCATTGGGTTCTTACACACAATCCTGAGAAGTAGGTAGATGTCATTGTGTCCATTTCTCAGGTAGAGAAGAAAGATGAGAGCACTTTAGGTAGAGAAAACAGTACGAAAAAATCTTTACGGACTAAATGAGCATGCTCTATGTGGAGAATGGTGTGAATACTAGCCTGTCTAGAGAGAAAAGTCTATACTAAAGGAGAGGGATTGGATAAATAAGAAGGAGCCAGAGTAGGGAAGTGAGGAACAGAAGTCAGATGCAGAAGGAAGGATCAAAGAAGTTCAGAATCTCTCAGGAACACCAAATTTGCATCTGGACTAATTCTACTTCCCATCCCTTCTCCCTACCTCCAAATCTATTCCACTGCCACTTACAAAAAGAGGCAGAGAAATCTGAGGATCTGATTTAAGATGATGAGTATGTTGAATGTTTGGTTCTGATACAAGTCCCAAGAAGCTTTTCTTTCTGTAATTGCCACAGGCAAGGAGCTTTGTAGAGGCACAGGATGACCTTATCTATGTCATCCACATATGCATATACAAAAATGCATGCAGACATATAGTCATCTACCTCTCAGCTCACTTACTCAAAATCCCAGTCCCAGATATATTTGGATGGCTTCTTTTCCTTTTCTGCCCTGGCAGACTACCCCTTTCATATCTCCTCCATCCAGAATGGCATATCAATTTCCCCACCCCCTTTTGACATCTGTGAGCTGCTTCATTACAATTTGGAAATGTTCCTTTCCTACATTCGTAACAATCTGCCATGTTCTATAAACTATTCCCTGTTAGAGTAGGAGGGTAAAGGGAAAGAAAGAGAGAAGGAAGAAATGGGGCGGGGGGGAGGGCCCAGGAGTAGGGTGGGGGTAAGTAATCCAGCAAAAAGAATTGGCCATCTTTAAATGTGACATTTAGAGACACCAAAATAAATGAGATCCTTCACATTCTCCAAGCCTCAGACATTTTTCTTTAATGGATTATTAAATATATAGTATATAAGCATTTGGAAAAGAAGGCAGTACATGTATAATCTATATCAAATTGCTTACAGTCAGGAAAGGGGAAGTAAAGGAGGAAGGGAGAAAATTTGGAATCCAAAATTTTTTAAAATGGAAGTTAAAAATTGTTTTTATATATAATTAAAAAATAGAATACATAAATTTTCAAAAAAAATTTTAAAAAGAAAAGAAAGCAGTGATTACTAGAAACCAACATAGGTTCATTTAGGAACAAGACCTGACAAACTCATCCAATTTCCTTTCTTGATAATAATGCTCAATTGATCAATCAGGGAACCTCACAGACATAGTGTATATTGATTCAGTACATAACTTGACAAAGCCATATTTTGTGATTCCATGGAGAGATATGAGCAGAATTCATAGTTGGTTTGAATTTTGTAAATTAATATAACAATGTCAATCTGGAAAGAAATATCTTATGGCTCTGTCCCAGCATCTTTGTTCCTATAGTATTCAACATTTTAAACAATTACTTGGATGAAGGCATAGAATTAAATATGTAGGTGACCCAAATTTGGGAAAAATAACTAATTTGATAGATGAAATTTTTTAAACTCCCTAAAATTTAAAAAAGCTAGAAAGGTATACTAAAAGAAACAAAATTAAGCCTAAATGTGAAGTCCTACACTGAGGTTTGAAACATTAATTGGAAAACTGTTTTTAACAGAGACTTGTGCTTTCACAAAATCCTTTTTTTCTGCTCTACTTTGTATGTGGAAATGTTCTTTTTTGGAGTGTTTGTTAAATTTAGAACAAAAAAAGGAAAGAAAGAAAATTAATTGCAAAAGAACAGGATGAGAAAATCTAAGTAATTGGAAGGGGGAGTGGGGAGAGAAACAAGGACAGTTAGCTGACTACAAGGCAGCTGCTGGTGGCACAAAGGGGTCTGGCGAGAAGAAGACCTGAGTTCAAATCTGAACCTGGACACTTACAAGCTGTATGACCTTGGGCAAATCACTTAATCTCTGCCTCATTTTCTTCATCTGTAAAATTGGATAATAATAACTTATCTCCCAGGGTTATCACGAGGATAAAATGAGATAATTGTTTGTAAAGTACTTAGTAGAATGTCCAACACATAGTAGGTGCTTAATAGATATTTGAATATGTATGACATCATACTATAATACGCATTACAATATAACATAGAATCAATATATGTACATACATACATACATACACACATACACATGCCAAAAGTGTCTGCCTCATAAGACTATCAGATGAGTATCAGATGAGAGAGTGTATATGAAAGTACTTTTCAAATTGTAAAATCATATACAAATGTGAATACTATCTAAATTACTGAAAAGCTAATGTGATCTTAGATTGATTTAATGAAGTATGGTCCATAAGTATGGACCTGACCTTGCCCCAATGGTAGTATTGCACCTAATTCCAGGCAGCACATTTTAAGGGCATTTGACCAGTGCAACAAATCCAGAAGAGGGCAAATGAGGTCATTGAGGTGATTAAAGCACTCCTACAACACACATTTGTATAGCACTTCAGAAACTGCAAAAGTGTTGTATGTATTATTACATTTGATCCTCATGAAAACCCTTTGAGGTAGTCAGAGGAATCATAGGAGAGAGGGAAAAGCATTGACCTTAGAGAGAGAACATGGCTTCCAATCCCACCTGTGATATGTGACTTTGGTAAAGTTATTGAACCTCCCTCAGCCTGTTGCCTTATCCATAAAAGGGGAGGGGGACCTGATTGGCCCCTTCCAGCTCTAGATCTATGATCCTATTATTATCCCCCTTTGACAGATTAGGAACTTGAGAGAAAGTTTTATTCACAGCAATAATAACAACACATTTATGTAGCACATTAAGGCTTACAAAGAAAGTATTTTACATATATTACTTCATCTGATTCTTACAACCCTATGAGATAGGTGCTATTATCATTCATATTTTTCAAATGGGGAAACTGAGGCTGACCTAGGTTATATGATTTGCAGTTAGTAAACATCAGAAGCAGAATTTGAACCCAGGTTTTCTTTACTACAAGTCCAGCACTTCATCTGGTTTGCCACATTGCCTGAACTGTATGACCATAGATAAATCATTTAACCACTGGGAGCCTCAGTTTCCTCATCTGTAAAATGGAAATAATAATAATGGTTAAAGCCTATCTCATAGAGCAGTTGTGAGGCTCAAATGAGAAAATGTAGTCAAGTAGTTTGCAAACTTTAAGAAGCTATACATAAAATTCTACCCTAATTCCTGTCTTCTCCACACTAAACATCCACAGTTCCTACGGTAGATCCTCATACGATATAATTTTCAGACCTCTCACCCTACTACTTTAACTTCTCTGGATAGCCTTGTTTATTTTTCTCTCCAATCCTGTCTAGTCTATGGCCAGACCTCGTATGACCTGCTCATTGCTTGGGTGTCATTAGATCATTTCTTGCTGAAGGGACAGTCTAGAGGCCAGGACTGGCAAGAGGGAGATAGAGATAGTGACTGCCAAACACACAGGTCTGGTCCCTGCCCCCAAGGGGTCCAGACAAATGCATGGAAATATAATATCACTATCAAAGATGGGGTCATGGAAGCCATCAGCTAATTTCAGTTCAAACTGGGGAAACTCTCTAGAAGAAGGGAAAAAAGTGTTTAAAAAAAGCTTCAGAAACAGTATGGAATCTGGGGAACCTAGGAAAGAGGCAGGGAGAATGCGGGAGGATTCAGGGGCTACATGGAGGTTTCAGGGACCTACTGACCTCTCTTCTCCTTTTTTTCTGTCTCCTCCAGCACAGAGCCCCACGGCGGCCGACCCCCTGCAGCAGGCCTACGCAGGAGTGCAGCAGTATGCAGGTCGTTAGTATTGACGCTTTCTCCCAATAACACTTTCCATAAATCCCTCTTTCTATTCCCTGATCTTTCCCTTGTCATGTTCCTATCACTCTTAAGTATAAAGATCACCCCAGCAGCACTGCAGTGCTTCAAGTTGTGAGAGGAGGCATGAGGATGGCCGAGAGTATTTCCAGGATGAGATTTGGAGAAGAGAGGCTCTGTTTAGAGACAAGGGATTGAAACTCTACTCCCTCTTCCCCAGAAGTGACCAACTCTGAACTCTGGCTTGGATTAGGGAATGCCACTCAGTCCAACAGAGTAACTCAATCTCACTACATACCCAGCCTGAGAGACATTAAGAAAAGAGGCGGATACAATTCATCCCCTTGGGGAGTTTATAGCATAGTTGGGGAAATAAAACACACATATCAAATATAGAACAACACAGGAGAGTGTCTGGTCAGGTGAAAAATTGTGGGATTGTGAGATTCAGTTCCAAAGTGCTGAGAAAGAATGTTAGAAAAAGATGAGATCAGTGTGAGTGGCAACATTCACAGAAGGCTTCATGGAAGAGGTGGGACTGAAAACTAGAGACTTCAGGATGGACAGTATTTGGACATGAACGTGTAGAAAGAGGGAGGAAGGAAAAGGAAGGGAAGGGAAGGGAACTGGAGGGGAGGGGAAGGGAGAAAAGGAGAAATAAAGAAAGAAAAAGGAAGGAAGAAAGGAAGGAAGGATGTAGAGTATATGCTGGGGACTGTAGAAGAGACAACAGATGATGCAAGGAGTTTACAGTATAGTTGTGGAAGACTAGACTCACACATGTAACAATTAGGAAACAATAGAGAAGAGTATGTGGTTCGAACTTAGTGTTGTAGGAGGCCAGAGTGAATGCAAGTAAGGGAAAGAACACTCTTGGAGCCCTTCTCATTTCCTCCCAACAGAACTTGCTGCACCCCCCACCCCCCCACCCCCTGCCCAGAGTCCAGGCTGTGCCTAGCTGCCCCAGGGTGATGGGGAATAGAACCAAATGAAGAAACATGGAGAAACAAAGCCTGACTTCACCAATTCCTCCATACTTGTCCTTCACTCCCTTGGGCAGGGACCACTTCCAGCCCATTTCTCCCTTTAAGCTGGGCACAGTCAATTCTGGATTATGTTCACTAGCAGACTGGAACAGCAGCACAAATAATCCAAAATAGTAGATGATCCAAAACACTAAAAAAATGCAGCAACTATCAGGTGCTCCAAAACAGTGGCTAATGCAAAAGAATGGATAAGTTCAAACAGATTCTTCTCCAAAAGTCCTTATTTATTGGTTCTGGAATTTTTTTAAAGTAATCAAAGATTTTTCTTCCTAATTCCATCTGGTTCAAGCTAACAAAACACACACAACACACACATACATGCCCATGCACATGCATGTGCACACACAGAATTTGCTTTCTGGGAGCTCACACTGACGAACAGACAGGTTCTTGGGGGGGCAAGATGTGATTAGTCACAGAGAAGGTAAAAAACAGTATTGATATTTGAGTTATCTAGATTGGGGGAATGAGTAACTCATTAAGCCCCCGTGCAGCTAACAACTCATAGGGATATCGTCCTTTAAGTGAATGGAAAAAGCATTTGTTAAGCACTCACTACATGACCATGATGAACACTATTAAGTGTTGGGGTTACAAGTATTAGCAAGCAAGAGTCTACTTTCCTATGAGACATACAACACTCCTAAAGAAGTGGTGACCAGAGAGCCAGAACAGTGGCAGGGCTGATTTGATTCTGCTTGGGGATTTAGCACTGGAGGGGGTGAGGGAAGAGGAGAAAGGGCACCCAGGAAGTTGCTGAGGGTGCAGAGATGACAGAAGGAGTGAAGGGAAGCATGCTTGAGACTTCTTGGAGAGGCAGTCACTGCTCAGACCAGCAGGGGCCCCACAGTGTAAGCTTTCCTAATACTACACTCACTGCATTAGTGCTCACAATAAACCCTAGACAGAGAAATAGTAGGTAAACACCTGCAATGTGTGATATGCGTGACATCAGGAGTCCTGGTATGCAAAGTATCTCCTCCAGAGGCCTACCATCTCCTCCCCCACTCCCATTATAGTTTCTGTCCCCTCCAGGGCCTACTTTTTAAGTGAAACCTGCAGGGAATGCATATTCAATATCTAGAAGTTTTCAGGTACTTTTCTGCCGAATAGGGTTAGGGTGGTGATGATATAGAGAGAACTAAGGAAGAAGAAGGCACAGGAGCAAGGGAGCAAAACAAACTTTGTTGATTTGACTAGCCCTGTTAATGCCAGTGATGCTTGCTAAATTGTTCCCTTTCTCTTACCTCAGCTAACTTAACATGAAGATGGAAACAGAGACAGAGGAAGTCAGAAAAAAAAAAAGATCTAAGAAAAATTACACAAGAGAGGATAAGGGAGATAGAAAAGTCAGAGGAAGAGGAAGGGCAGGAGACAGAAGAGGAAGGGAGAGAGGGAGGAGAAGAGGAGGAAGAGAGAGTTCAAGAGGAAGAGGACGGAGAGAGATATGACATAGAGAAAAAATGAGAGAAGGGGAGATAGGAAGAGATTGAGGAGGGAAAAGAGGTAGCAAGAGATAGAAGGACAGAATGAACAAAAGAAGGAAATGAACTCAAGGCAGAGTGGACTGAGTGAGAAAAAACAAAATAAGGAAAGAACAGAGATAAAGGAGAGAGCAATAGTAAGAAACAGAAGGAATGTGGGAGGAAAGTCAGAAGACATACGGAGCAAAGGAAATAGTGAGACAAAAGAAGACTGCGAGAGATGGGGGACATAGAATAACAAAGAGGGAGAAAAGGGGGGAGAATGACAACAAAAAAGATAGAAAAAGAAAGGAGAGTGACAAGGGCAAAAGACAGAAGGAAACAGAGCAGGAAGCAAAGGAGAGGGAAATACAAAGAGAGGAGGACAGAGGGAGGTCAAGAGAATCCCTGTGAGTGACAGAGGAACGTGTTTGCTGCTCTTGGGTGGGGGGAGTAAGAAAAAGGTCCTTCTTTCTCCTATTTCATCCCATTTCCCTGTCTCCCTTCACTTCTTCCCCTTGTTCAAAGGTGTAGATGTTACACACTAACATCCCCAGCCTCCTGACTCAAACCAGGATTCACTCCTTGACATATGACCATGGGAAAAGTAGGATAGTTAGTTTGGGATAACTCATGAAAATGCCAGAGACAGCACTAGGCAGAGACAAACTAGGGAATATTTGGACTTGTTACCTCTTCCTAAATTAAAAGGGAATCTAGTTTTTAAGCACTGTTTCTACAGCCTGGAGCCCAACAGAAAAACCAGGACCCCCTTCCCTTGAGCCCTGCAGCCCCTTCTCCTGCCTGGTCCTAACTGGCTAGTGACAACTCCCATCACCCAGAATAGGGAAGCTAAACACCACAGCCTTGGCCAATGTATGACAACAATGGACTGTGATCTCTCAGTTCTTTATACTAATAGGATATGTATTTTGTTGATTAGCCATAGCCTGTATTTATCTAAAGGATGGTTTCCCCTCCCCACCCCACTTCTGTTACTACCTCCCCCACCAACACCATTTTTACACAACCCATCAAATAATTCATTCATGATAATGTCAGCCTGTTGACAACCTGATCAGAAAAAAATAAGTCTGCTAAGAGAAAATATTACATCATGCATTACAAATGGTGGGAGGTTATCCCTGGCTTGAAGATAACCCACCGTTTTGGATTATCTCTTATTTTGGATTATCTGTCATTTCGTATGAGGCATTGTTTTGAATTCTTTATTGTTTGGCTTTATCCACTGCTGTTATTTTCCCTGCTGCTGCTTCTCTCCATTGATGCAGATAATCAAAAGTTGGCTTTATCTCCATTGACTGAGCTGAAAAGTGCATTTTGGCTTGTTTGATTTTGCTGCCTGATACCGAAATATTTCTCTATCTCTCATTCTGTTTCTCTTTCCTAGTCTCTGTCACCCTCTCTCACTCTGGTCTCCCTCTCCTTTCTTCCTCCAACAGCCGCTTACCCTGCTGCCTATGGTCAGATAAGCCAAGCGTTCCCTCAGCCGCCTCCAATGATCCCACAGCAACAGAGAGAAGGTAAGTCTGGGAGCTAGGCTGCCTGGATCCCAGTCCCAGAACCACTCTACCTCTTTCTACTGCCCCTCCCCAAGTACAGACCCCTTAACTAAGATAACTGGCTCTAATTGTCCTGAGTTTGAAGGATACCATCAAACTCATTGTCTGTTGGGGAAAAAGAGAAGAGGGTGGAGTTTTTCTATGATACAGGTATCATTTCTCTACACAGATATGTAGTCTCTTTCCTGGTTGTTTCTGAAAGCAGTCCAGCCTGGATGATATGTCCTTGAAATTACTCTGTTCACATCATAGTTTCTGTGACTGTAGTGGGAGCCAACCTCCAATTTGCCTTTCAGCTTTGCTCTTCTACTCCCTGTCACCAAATCAGCAACCTAAATTTCCTTCCTACTTAGGACAGGAGATATACTGAACTGGGTCAAGGTAGGATTTCCTTCAAGGGCAGTGTTTTCCCTTCAAAGGTCCTCGTCTTCTCTTCAGTGTGCCTAAAGTGCTACCTCAAGGTGACTGAGAAGCCACCTTTCCTTACTGACTCTTTCCCATGGGCAGAAAGACAATCACAAGTCTACTTAAATAACTTCAGTGATGTGTCAACATGCAAGAGCATGGAATTTCATGACTTCCTTTTCCAGTCAAAAGGCGTCATTTTCCATTCTCAGATAAAAGAGGACCTTTCCTCTTCCCAAGGAGAATCTAATTGTTAGGTACTATAGGGAATTTGCATTCAATGATTACCTTAGCAACCAGCCACTTTAATAACTTGTCTCTGACACATCTAAATGTAACAAATATTTTTCAACAGAACAAACCATTTAAAACTAATATTTAAACAGAAACTCAATTACATTTAAATCACAAAGACTTAAAGAGCTTTCACAACAAGGAGATACGATTCACATTCCTGGGGTGTCCCTAGTCCAATGCAGGAGACATGGCTCACCCTCAGGGAACTTACAGTGTAACCGAGGGAATAAGTCTAACTTTGAAGCAGTGGTACAATGGAAAGGATGTTGAATATGAAGTCAGAGTACCTGGGTTCAAATCCTGACTCTGACACTACCTGTATGACCTCAGGCAAGTCATCTGACCTCTCTGAGACTCAATTTTCTCATCTATAAAATGAAGAGGGTCAGACTAGATGGCTTCTAAGTCCCCTTCCTGTTCTCAATCTCTGATCTTGTGAATGAATGGTAGACTGTACAGTGCTTTAGGAATTACTGAAAAAAGTGATAAGGTCATCTGGGAAAGTTTCACCGAAGAGCTGCTCTGGGCTCTTAAGGACAGGTAGAATTTAGGGAAAAATGGGGAAGCTATTCCAGGTTGATAAGCATTCTGTACAAAGAAGAGACTAGGAGGGAGGGAAGGAGGAGCAATCATGGAAGGACAGCCAAGAGACCTGAGGATAGTTCCAACTAGTCTGCACTCTGTGTGGTTCATTGAATAACAGTGAGGGTTTCCAGTGGTAGCAAGGATCTCCTATAGAAAGACCTGGTAAGCAGATTGGATTCATAAACATCAACCATTCTCCACTGCCAGAACAGTTCAAAGATGAATAAAAGGAGGAAATACTTAAAAATTCAAAAACAGATGATACAGTATGGTCAGAATTCATCTCTACTGTCATCATCAATCCACAAGAGAAGTGGGAGGAAAGTCCAGGTAGAAAGAAGACCAGTCAGATCCAATCCCCCCCGGGATTTTCTTCCATTTCTCACTGTCTTACCTGCCGTTTCACTGGCTGACACCTAAAGTTGTCAGACTATCATTTCCATTCTATTTCTCTCTCCCTATATCTCTAGACTCTTGCCTGGTTCCAAGAAGGTTCCAGTTCCTTCAGATTCTCTTAGCCTAAATGTGAACTTACCTCCCCCTCAATGAATTGAGACCAAGATTGGGTAGTGGAAAGAGCCCTGGACTTGTCAAGATACCTGAGCTCCAGCCGCAGCCTTGATACCTTCTAACCATTTCACCTTGAACAAATCATTTTTCCTCTGTCAATTTGTTTAATAGGAATAATTACATCTGAACTGCTTACCTCACAGACATTTCATAAGAAAAGTATAACACTACAAAAATGTGAATTTTTTTTGAAAAAGAGCTTTATGCCTTAGGTGGGCTTATTCTAAGAACTACAAGAAAGGAAGATAAATTCCATCAGGGAATGAAAAGGAAGACCTAGACCTAACTCTTTCTGTATTTTCACAGAACCTTTAAAAACATTTAAAAATTTTTCTAATATTGTAATTTCCCCCCTTTTACTTGTTATTTTAAACCCCAGTATTTCCTTATGGGAGGCAGTGTAGCATGAAGCTCTCAGTTAAAGTCTTGCTCTTTCATACCAACTGTAGGACCTTGGGGAGGTCACTTAACTTCTCAGTATACTAGGTAATTCTCTAAGAGTTATAGGTAGTGGGGAAATTGAAATTTTTCTTCTATGGTATAAGAAAGGGTAGCTCTGAGTGGGGCAATTCACAGCCTAGTAAGGGGACAACACAAGCATATAAGAATACTGAAGTATCAAAATATTCCTGCCTGGCCACTATCCCCTTATATATTATCTTCCCTTATGAGAATATAAGCTCCCTGAGGGCAGGCACTGTTTTTCTGTATACATACACACATCTTCTGCATTTAGCACAGTCCCAAGCACCTAGTAAGTATGGAATAAATGCTTTATCATTCATTCATCAGTGTAGGGGAGGCTCTGTGTCTGGATTCCTTCCCCTGTTGATAAACCTTAGGGAACTGCCTGAGGCATATAGATGTTAAGTGACTTGCCCAAGGTGACAGAGCTAGCAAACATCAAAGGCGAGATTTTATCCCAGGTCTTCCTGACTCTAATACCCAGAACCCCTAAACACAAAACCATACTGCTTCTATTCACACAAGTATTTCAATAAATATGATCCAAAGTAGAGTGTGGAAAAACGTCATAAGAAAAGTATAGAGTGTGTTGGGAAGGCAGAGAAATTATTTCTAGCTTGGGAGAATATGAGAATGATTCATGTGAAGTGACATCTGAACTGATTGATTCCTGATGGATAGGTAGCACTCTGGCAGAGTGCTAGGCAGAGACAGAAGGGAGGTTATACACTGGACCATGGATTTAGACCTCGAAGGGACTTTAGAGATCACCTATTCCAACCCGCTCATTTTACAGATTGGAAACCTGAGGACCAGGTCATACAGGCTGTAAGTGACAGAGCCCAGGGCTCCAGGTTCACTGACTAGAAATCCAGTGCTTCCCCCACTCTACCACAATGGTGGGTGAAGGGAACAGTGAGAGGAAAGAGCAACAAGAAAACCCTAGGTCATCTCATGGAACCAGGAGCAGATCAGTAGAGCTAGAGCACAGAGTATTTCAAGGGGGTGGGGCAGAATGATGGGGGCCAGGGAGAGATGGGGCTAGACTGGCCTTTGAGCATGAAAGGCCAGGCTGAAGTCCTTAGTGTGATATACACAACACAATGGGCACATAAAGCATTGAAGAATTTCTGTAAGCTCTAAACACATACAAAATTTCTCTTTGGTTTGCACCTTTAGGGTCGTCTAAAAATACAGTCTTATTAAAACACAAATTATTCCAGTTTCCAGAGGAAAGTAAGGTGTTTCCTCACCTGGTGCTGTCAGAAAGCCAGCCCTGGATATCTTGCACGTATATAGTAACTCACCTGAAAAATCACATTAGAGAACAGTTCCATTCCAACATTAGCCCCATTTTCCCAGATTGTTCATATCTTGTGAATGGAAGATATAAGAACCTACCCATGGAATCTTCCCTAAATGGCACTGGAATGAAAGATGAAGCCCCCTGGTTCTATGAAGCCTTCGAGCTGCCAAGGTAGTCATCACTAAAGGTTATTCCATTTTTCTTTGTAGGCAAACACCTCAGGCTATTGCTCGGAGCCTATTTAGGCTTATTTTACAAACCATTCTAACTATCTTATTTCTATAGCAGATTTGGAAAAAGCAAATTAGAATGAGCCTGGAGACTGCTAGAATTTGATACACAAGAAGTGACAGCTGACATTCTGTCAGCAAGAGAGGAGTCAGAAAAATCATTAAAAGCGGACACAGGAGTTGGCAAAGCACAGCAGTCAGAGACAATTTAATACAGGGGCAAATGCCTAAGGCAGCATGATATAGTGCAGGAGTGTCAGAATCAAATAGAAATGGGGACCACTCATCTGGACAGAAGGATCCCTGTGGGCCACATATTGACTTAGTTTTAAGATGTGATGCTATCTATGTTTTATTGTATTTTTTAATTTATTTTGTTAAATATTTCCCAATTACATTTTAATCTGATTAAGATTGCACTCCCGTGATTTGGGCCACGTGTTTGACACCTCTGGTGTAATGGATAGAGAGCTGACCTAGGAGTCAGGAAGACCTGAGTTTAATGTCTGCCTCTGACATATACTGACTCTGTGACCCTGGGCAATTCATTTAACCTCTGAGTGCCCCAGAAAGATCTCTAAGACTATAAATCGCAGAGCAGTTGATAATTTGCCTTGGTGGAGATATTCCCTCCACTGGGAATTTACTACCTTTATGAAATCAGAGGCCTGGTTCCATCCTTCCCAAAACACGAGCATTTCTGGCTGCTTTGGGGTGATTCTGTGGTGCCATGGAAAGAGAGCTTGATTTTGAGTGGGGGGCTAGAGTATGCAAGGGAGGCTGCTTGGAAGCTGTGGGATTCAAGATAAGCCTTGAAAGATGGTTAAGATTTGGATAAGAGGGGAGATGTGGAGTGGTGAGGAAGAAGGCATTCCAGATAGAAGGAAGGACGTAACAAAAGGCAGAGAAGCAGAAATCATCATGGTGTATGCAGGGGTTATAAAGGGAGGTTAAGAAATACCTTTCCCAAAAGACCCTAAAAGTAAGATGTGTGGCTTTCTCTTTTTGAGACAGTATAGGTGCAGTCCTATAAGAAATGACAGTAGTATGTGAAATATCTGGGTGGTCCTCTTCAGCCTGGGGGTCCCAGAAGATACTAGGGATGGAGGCGAATATCGGGTGATCTCACTCACTTCAGGCAGGGTGTCGATTCTCTCCCCTAGCTAGTACCACCTGTGTTTATTTTTTGAGGCTGTATAATGGACATGGTCACCAGCATCTAAAATGACAACCCCTACATTGGCATGGAATTTCCTATTTTTCATATCTGTTATCTCATCTTATTCTCACAGAATCCCTGTGAAAGTGGGAACCACCAAGATTATTATCCCCATTTTTCAGATGGGGAAACCAACGACATGTGGGTGAAATGCTTCTGTAGCATCACAAATGTCCTGACCCCTAATCCAGCGCTCCTTCCACCCACATACTAGCCTTCCTGTGTTCTAATTCAAAACCTGCTCATTGAAATATGAATCTTGGCTGAGCTATTCTCTATCTCCTAAACTTTTGTCCCACCCTACCCCGCTACCCCGGTTAAGCTGGAAGACTGCTCATGTCTCTTCTATCTCTGTCTGTCTCTGACTCTGTCTCTCTATCTCTCTGTCCCTTTTTGTCTCTGTCTCTGTGTCTCTTTTTGTCTCTCTGGCTCTGTCTGCCACTCTGTCTTTCTCTGGCTTTTTCTCTGTTTCTCTGTCTCTTTGTTTCTCTCATGGCCTCCATGTTGCTGTTGCTGTTGCTTTCTCTCTGTCTCTGTCTCTGTCTCTCTGTCCCTCCCTCTCTCTGTCTCTCTCTTCCTCTCTCTGTCTCTCTCCCCTTGTCCTCTCCTTCCTCAACCACAGGGCCAGAGGGCTGTAACCTGTTCATCTACCATCTGCCCCAGGAGTTTGGGGATGCTGAGCTGATGCAGATGTTCCTCCCTTTCGGTAATGTCATCTCCTCGAAAGTGTTTGTGGATCGGGCGACTAACCAAAGTAAATGCTTTGGTGGGTAAAGATAACAAACCAATTAGATTCACCTAGGAAAGGGCATTGCTCGCAACAAGTTACCATTTGCAAACTGCTTTTGATCTGCCTCCTTTTCCTCCTCCCCTCCTCTCCCCAGCTGTCTTTCTCTGATTCTCCTTTCCCCATCTCTCAGCTTCTTTCTCTGGATCTTCTTTCTTCTCTGAGCTTTCTGCACCCACACTGCATCCTCTCTGCCCCCTTCTGAGGACAGGGCACAATGTCACAGCTGAGGGGTCAGTTAGGACCCCTCCTTATTCCCCTGACCCTCCCCTGCCAGCCCCCTTGGAAGGAGGCTGGGGGGTGGGCCAAGGCCAGGAGGTTGTGAGGAGGGAGGTGGTGGGTGAAGGGTGGGGAGAATGGGCACTGGAGTCACACTGCACAGAAAACGACCCACAGACAGCAACTGTGGTGGCAGGTCTTTTCTGGGAACATCCACTCCTTCAGACTAGCCCTTGAGGCAGAAGGAGTGGGGAACAAAAGTGCAAAGTGGCTCCTTGTTCCCAGGGCCTTCCCCCTTCTTGATTTTAAAGATGGACTTTTAGGGGAGGTGATCCCTCTGCCTGAGCTCCCTAACCATGGGAGCTGGGAAATGTCCATGGTGAGAGCAGTGGGGCCCACCCAATATTGGTATCTGTCTGCCTCCTGCTCCTTCAACCTCCTCCCCTGCTAATCCCCAACAGCCCAAGTCTCTTCTTCCCCACTGATGACACTCTGTGCATCCTCAGCTTTCATCTTACCTTTTCTCATCACTCACTGCCACCCATTTTCCTCCCCTTCTACCATCAACCTTCCCTCCTCTCTTTCTTACTCACGTCCCTTCTGTTTCTCTCTTCTTTTCTCTCTAATTTCCCCTTTCTTCTCTCTCAATTGATCAACTAGTCTTTACTGATCCCCACTGTGTTCCTAGCCCTGAGCTAGGAGCTGTGGAGGACGCAGGAGAAGCGGGCGGCAGTTCTTGCCTTGAGGAACTGGAAGTCTCCCTGGTGGGACAAGGACACACCGTGAAATAACAGTGAGCAGACACAAGGCAGCACAGGGTTAAGTGCTAAACTGTGTGATAAAATATATCCCCCAATGGAGTTTAGAGGGAGTGACTTATTGGATCTGGATTGTTGAGGAAGGCTTCATAGAGGAGGTGGAGTGCAAGCTGGGCCTTAAAGAACAGGTAGGATCTCAATTACTAGAGGGCAAGGGTGAGGACATTCCAAGTGGAGAGTAGAGCCCAGAGGTGGAAATGAGCCACCGATGATGGATGGTACAGTGGCCTGGCTGGAGCTGAGGGTGGGGAGAACAGGCAGTATCACAACATTGGAGAGGGCCTTGAATGTCAGAATTGGGAGTTTAGAGTTAATAAATGCAGGCACAAGGGAACCATTTAAATGGGTATTTTCGGGGTGGGGAAAGTGGTGTACATGATGGATTGGAAGGGGAAAGACAAGTCAGAGAAGCTAGGAGCTCTCTATATCTCCCTCTTCAATTTCCCCTGCATTCATCCCTTCTGTCCTCTTCCCATCTTCTCCCTTTCTCCCTCCCCTAGCCATGTTCCCTCCATCTCCACCAGCTCGCTCTCTACTGGCATAAATCTCTGAAGAAGTACCCTGCCCTGGCTGACGCCTTAAATACTGTGAGGCCTGACCTCCAGGTGGGGGGACCTGTCCCATTCTGGGGACTCTGGCTTTCTTTGGACAGTACAGTTAAGGCTGAATTCGGCGGCTCAATCAGCTCTCCAGCCTCTTTCCACTGCAGGGACATTGTACACCCAGTATCAGTCAGAGGTACCCAAATATGTAGGTACTATTATCTATTTGCCAGGGGCTGGATTCTGAGGCTGGGGTGGGGAGAAGAGGTGTGGGTGGAGAGTCCCTACTATTTCAGAAACTTGGAATTGGGTCCCCTCCCAGCTTCCCACAGGGACAGGGGATGTGGGCAGATAGCGGGGTTATACAGTTTGTAGAATAAGAGCCCAAACCACAGCATGTGGGTGTAGGGGAATTGTGTGTCTCTGTCTGTGCAAATCTGTGCCCATGAGTTATTCCTGTGTAAGTTTGTGTGTACATGTATCTCTGTATTCAATTTGGTTCAACAAACATGTATTAAGTGCCTACTATGCAATCTAAAGATGCCTTCAAGGAGCTTAAAATTTAGTTGGGGTTTGGGAAGGAGAAGAAGACATAAATTCCTATAACATAACTTTAAAGATGATGCCATGCTTAGGAAAGGTCAAATAAATGGCCCAGGACATTCAAGGAAGGAGAGATTACTTCCTGGATCTCCTGGTGGGGTGGGATGGGGGTGGGGGTGGGGGGGTCAGGAAGGGCCTCATGGAAGAAGGAAAACCTGAGCCGGGTTGTTGAAGAAGGGAAAAGATATCAATAAGTGGAGATGAGAAGCAGGGACTCGGTTCCAGGCATGAGGGATGCACAGAGGCACGAGACAGCAGGACAAGATCTTGGAACAGTGAGTAGCTCACTTTGACTAGAGGGTAGCGTATGTATGCAAAGTGGGGGGTGTAATGTGAAATAAGTATGTTATAATAATAACAGTTGATATTTACATATAATGCTTTTAGTTTGCAAAGTACTTTATATACATTATTTCATTTGACCTTCACAACTATACAAGGTAGGTGCTATAGGTATTATTATCTCAGTTTTAGCGATAAGGAAACTGAGTCTCTAAGAAGATCAAATAACTTGCCTGTGATTGATTACTGGGCTTATAATTAGTGGAGGATGATTCGAACCCAGGGCCAAATATGCTTTCACTGAATGACAGTGGACCCTGGCTGATGTCAGTCCACATAGTAAATGCCAGCCTGAAACTGCAGTTTAAATCAGGAGGCAAGCTTGGTGTTCTTCTACTCTTTCTTCAGAGCAGGGGAGTGACTGATTCAGGCCTGTGAATTAGGAAGATTATTTGTTCATCGAAGTGAAAGGTAGATTAGAGCAGAGGGAGATTGGAGGCAGGACAATCAGTTAGGAGGCTAGTGCATTAATCTGGTTCACTGGTTCTCAAAGGATGGTCTAGAGACACCTGGGTGTCCCTGAGACCCTTTTGAGGGGTCCTAATAATATTAATTTCTAATATGGTAAATATCAACAGATACAACTTACATGAAAGCTTTTTGGGGGAAGTCCTCAACCATTTTAAAGAGTATAAAGGGGTCCTGAGACCAATCCAACCTAACAGACACTTATTAAGTACTTACTATATATGTACAAGGTGCTGTGCTAGATGATGGGGATATAAAGACAAAATGAAGACCAGTTTTTACCCTCAAGGAGCTGTGGGGAAGGGGACAATACAGAAACAGAAAAGTATTATACAGTGGGGTGCTGATAAATGTTTAACAACTGGTTCTTTGAGGGGGATAATGTACCCAGGACTCATTTTTAAGTTTAAACTGCATTTTTGCAATTTCCTCCATCACTTTCTTAAGTGTAGACAATCAACGAAATAATAAATCAAGCCCTGATTTATAGTGCCTGCAGACTTCTGAGGTATAAATGCTCACACTGAAAATTTAACAAGTGGCTCCCTCAAGTCAGTTCTAGCTAGCTATAGCACACCTTGAAAGTATCCATAAAATCATAGGATCTTAAGATCACAGCTCTAGAATTCGAAGGGACCTCACAGGCCACTGACTCCAACATCCTCATTTTACATATGAGGAAACAAAGGCTTAAAGAAATTGTGACTTGTCCAAAGATCACATAGGTAGTGAGAGAGAGAGAGCATTAACAACTAAGAATCATGGATGAGGCAGCACCTGAGCCCAGCCTTGAGGGAAGCTAGGAATTCTAGGAGGTGGATGTGAGGAGGGAGTACATGACAGGACTAGAAGAGTCCATGCAAAGGCATGGAGGTGGGAGATTGTATACTGACTTAATGGAAGAGCAAATAGCTCCACTTAGTTGAAAAATGAAGTATGAGGAGGGGAGTAATATGAACTAAATATGGAAAGTAGGCTAGAGTCAGACTGTGAGAAAGGAAATAGGAAGCTAGAGAAGGCTCAAGTGGCTGGGGGCCAGGAAAGCCTCCTGCAGAAGGTGACATTTGAGGAGAATTGTAAAAGAATCAAGAGAGGTCAAGAGGCAAAGATGAGGAGGGACAGCATTTCAGGCATGATGGATAGCCTAGGCCAGGGGTGGGGAACCTGCCGCCTCGAGGCCACATGTGGCCCTCTAGGTCCTCAAGTGTGGCCCTTTGACTGAATCCAAATCCTTTTATTAAGGGGATTTGTTCTGTAACATTTGGACCTGGTCAAAAGGCCACACCCAAGGCCTTAGAAGACCACATGGGACCTGGAGGCGGCAGGTTCCCCACCCCTAGCTCTAGGCAAAGGCAAGGAGACAGAGAATGATACGGGAATAATCTACATGAAGATAATAATTGAACCCATGGGAAATAATGTGATAACCAAGGAAGGGATGGGGTAGAGTGAAAGAAAAGGGAGAAAACATTTATTAAGTTGAGTGTTACCAATATGATCTTATTTGATCCTCACAACAACCCTGTAGGATCGATACTATTATTATCCCTGTTTTACAGTTGAAAAAACTGAGGCAAACAAACATTATTTAAGTTGGCTTGACCAGGGTCACACAACTAGCAAATGTCTGAGGCTAGATTTGGACGGGCCTAGCACTCTATCCACTGTGCCACCGAGCTGCCTCACGAAAAGAAAAGGCAGCCTAGGCAAGAAATGATAAGGTCCTAAATTAGAGGGATAGAAGTAGAAGAAAGGGGAATGGACACAAAAGACATTCCAGAGGTAGAATTGACAGAAACGGAAAACTATTTCCATGGAGGAGGCAAAGGAAAAGGGAGACAGGAACAACTCTAAGGTTTACCAATCTGGATAAATGAAAGAATACTGATGCTAGAAAATAGAGCAATTGGGAGTGGGAGGAAGATTTAGGAAAAAAAGATGATGGGTTGTCCATGTCATAGCGGAGCTCAGGGAGAGGTCAAGAACG